GCTGGGCAAAAGGGCTCAGTTTCTCCATCCCTGCAATGGAGAGGACAAGAGGGCCGCTGGGGCGAATAGAGCTCACAGGCAGGTGGGCGGCGGCACATGGCAGGGGCTCTCTAAGTAGGGATTGTTACTATCGCACCATTGTGTGCGTTCTGCCACTTGTCTAAGTGTCTCCCGTCAGCAGGACCCTTTACGACAGTCCTCACCTCGTCGGTGGGGTCTCCCAAGGTGCCCTGCAGACACCGCAACCAGAGTAGGGGGGCTGTGCCTGAAGCAACAAGACCAGTCTGCCCGGCTCTGAGCTGGGACTAGCTACAGGCCTGTTTGTGTATATTCTGCAAACTCTGAGTGGAGGGATGGAGTTTTCTTGGCTGCAGCTAAACCACCCCACTGGGCCCAGGGCCTGCCCCATCCGTGCTCACCGAGTGAACGCGTTGATCCTCAAGTTCCGTTTCCACCGCACCCAGCGGTCATTCCCACAACCCCCTGGGCTCCCGGCTCTGTGGTGGCGAGCACCCGCGGGCCAGGTGTGATTGGCACCTCTGCAGGGGGAGGAGATGGGGCTCAGGGGAGAAGCTCCTCCCACCAGACATGCTCTATGGAGGGCAGGGTGGGCACCCACAAGATGTGGGGGGAGGCCAGCCAGGAGCGGGGATCAGCCCTTCTCCGGCCCGACATGCTCTATGGAGGGCAGGGTGGGCACCCACAAGACGTGGGGGGAGGCCAGCCAGGAGCCGGGAATCAGCCCTTCTCCGGCCCTCTACCTACCCCGCAGACCCCCGCCCGGGAGGCTGGCACAGGAGCCAGTGGGCATGCACTCTGGGGGGGGGGGTGGCTGGGGATCCTCTTGTCTGTAATCTAAAGGACGTCTCTGTCTCTCAGCCTGGTGAGCACGGATTTCATTTCTTTGAAAACGCTCCTGGGGCATCAGCCACTGGGGAGACTTATTGCTGAAATGAAAGCTTCACGAACGTGAAATTGGAAAAGGTCTGCAGGGGGAGAAGGGAGCCCTCGCCGTGGCACAGGCCTGCTGCGCGGGGGACGCGGGGGTGTTCGTGGGTGACGATGAGGAAGGGGGCACAGTGCACACCCCACCTCCAATCACTCCTCTCACTGGCAGGGCCGCTGGTCCCCTCTGGGCCTGACCCCGCCCCCACTCTACATGCATACGGAGAAGGTACATATCTTCCTACCCCCCAACCTCGGGCTTTTGTTTTGGGGGAAAAGGCAAGACCCTAGTTGTACAGAGATAGCAGCTGCCTCGAAATAGAGGCGCTGGGCAATCCTGGGAGGAGAGACAGGGGTTGGCCTTTAGGAGAAAGGAGGAGGCACGGAGCTTCGGGATAGAGGGTGGTGCTTGCTCTGCTGTGCCTCAGTCAACTCATCTGTGAAATGGGACACTGGTAACAGCACCGATTCGCCAGGTTATGATGAGGGTGTTTGGAAAGTGTCACCTGTTAGAACAATGCCTGGCGCTGAGCAAGTGTTTAAAAAACCCTGTTAACTGTCAGTGTGAGTGAAAGCAAATAGGGAAGGGCGGTCAACAGAGTCAGCCCGGATGCTTGCCATTTGCACCCCGTGTCAGTTTGACTATTAAGAATATCGACTACACATCTTACATCCTGGGAGGTCACAGGAGGGTGTTCAAAATGAGGGACACACCATAGCCTAGGAAGACGGTGTTAGATTTTTATAACGTGCCCCAAACTGACATAAAATGCCCCATGGCGGCATTCCGCAGAAGGGTGTCATTTAAATAGAGCCAGGCAGGGCGGCCGGGCGCTTGGCATCTTCCCTCCGGAGCACAGAGCATTCGGAGGCGGGTGACCTCCCCCTAATTAGGAATATGGGGGCAATGGCGGCAGCGCCAGCGCCAGCTGGAAGCCGTGAGTAAACGAGCCTCGAGCTCAAAAGGTTCGCCATCACTGGCCTAGGAAGATAGTGTTAGATTTTTATAACGTGCCCCAAACTGACATAAAATGCCCCATCGCCGCATTCTGCAGAAGGGTGTCATTTAAATAGAGCCAGGCAGCCCGTGGCCAGCCTGTAATCCGCCCTCCCCGTCTCCCAGGTCACAGCTGAGGGCACAGCCTCGGAGACGCAGGGACGGTGCCCACAAAGCCAGGGCGGCCGGGCGCTTGGCATCTTCCCTCCGGAGCACAGAGCATTCGGAGGCGGGTGACCTCCCCCTAATTAGGAATATGGGGGCAATGGCGGCAGCGCCAGCTGGAAGCCATGAGTAAACGAGCCCGTGCTCCAGGTGACTCCTGCTGGGGTAGTTAGAGGTGCACGCGGGTACTGAGCAGGAAGAAGACACGCGGAGGCCTTCTCTCCTTCCCCGAAGGTCCTTCCTGCTCTAACCCTGGCTGGTCCTGCGTCACCAGCGGCCCATCCTGAGGGGGGCGTGCAGGGTCAGGGTGCAGAGAGGAGGCGGCGACCCTGAGAGGGGGGTGTAGGGGGCATGTCGGGGTCAGGGTGGAGAGAGAAGGAGCCGACCCTGAGAGGGGGGGTGTAGGGGGCATGTCGGGGTCAGGGTCAGGGTGGAGAGAGGAGGAGCCGACCCTGAGAGGGGGTGTAGGAGGCATGTCAGGGTCGGGGTCAGGGTGAAACCTGGCCTGAGCCACGTTCCTGGTGAAGAGCGCAAAGGGCCAGGTGTGTCCCAGAACAGCTCTGGTCTCCCGTGACTGCGGAGCCCGCGGCCCGGGCGACCTGGCTTTTCAGGTTTGCGCCCGGGAAGCAGGAGGAACGGCGAGGAGCCTCACCGATCCCTTCCCCACACCCGGCTGATGCTGATCTTCTCCGCTACTTCCTGTCTGCGTTTCCCTCTCTGTCTTTGCTTTGCCCTTTAGAAGTGATGCCCACAGTCAGACCCCTCTCCGGCCTGCAGGCCACAGTGGGCGCTGAGTGGATATTCACTGCAGGGATGATTTTTTCCTCTTTTCTGTGAGAGCCAACGCCACAGGCCTGCCTGGTGGGGGGAGCAGGACTCAGCCCCATGACCCCTTCCTGCATCCACCCCAGACACTTCCCCGGGAGTTTCTGTGACGGAAAACACCGTGGTCTTTTCCAAACACCAAAGAATGGGTCACACGCTTACTCGCGAGATGCAGACATGTGATTGCAGAGCTCGGGGGTTTACGGGGAGAAACCCAAGCCCAGTGACCGAGGTCTTTCCCTTAAAAGATGAGACCTTCCCGGTTGGCCTCCCTGGGTGCAGGCCACCCACCTGGCCTGAGCCACGTTCTTGGTTAAGAGCGAGAAGGGCCAGGTGTGTCCCAGAACAGCTCTGGTCTCCGTGACTGCGGAGCCCGCGGCCCGGGCAGCCTGGCTTTTCAGGTTTGCGCCCAGGAAGCAGGAGGAACGGCGAGGAGCCGCACCGATCCCTTCCCCACACCCAGCTGATGCTGATCTTCTCCGCTACTTCCTGTTTGCGTTTCCCTCTCAGTCTTTGCTTTGCCCTTTAGAAGTGATGCCCACAATCAGACCCCTCTCCGGCCTGCAGGCCACAGTGGGCGCTGAGTGGATATTCACTGCAGGGATGATTTTTCCTCTTTTCTCTGAGAGCCGATGGCACAGGCCTGCCTGGTGCGGGGAGCAGGACTCAGCCCCATGACCCCTTCCTGCATCCACCCCAGACACTTCCCCGGGAGTTTCTGTGACGGAAAACACCGTGGTCTTTTCCAAACACCAAAGAATGGGTCACACGCTTACTCGCGAGATGCAGACATGTGATTGCAGAGCTCGGGGGTTTACGGGGAGAAACCCAAGCCCAGTGACCGAGGTCTTTCCCTTAAAAGATGAGACCTTCCCGGTTGGGGAGAAAAAGTAACTCCCTTCTACCCTCATTCTTCTAGTTTTCTGGCTGAACTTTTTTTTTTTTCGAATCAGGAAGGAAAGTTTACTTAGAAAGTCACAGGTAGACCTGAGCCCTAGAAGAAACGGGTTCAGGAAACAACTTATAGCTAAAGAAGGGCCTTGGAGCTTAGGGGAGGGAAGGAGAGAGAAGACACACCTTGAGGGACCAAAGATGGAGAGAGAGAGAGGACTCCCTGGAGAAAGCGGCCGTGGGAAAAGCATGGGCCTGCTCCATGGACAGAGCCGAGCGGAGCCCTCCATTCGAGGGCTTTTATCTGGAGGCCTCAGGGGCGATCCCAGTGGAACATTCATCCGCCTTCCAGGTGTGCCCCCTCGTGCTCTCCACTGATTGGTCGGCGCCAGGGGTCACGAGTCAATGCAGCTGGCCCTGAGGGCGGCCACGGGTCTCTACATCTGATTGTGCTGCTTCTCTGGGCTGGAGCCGAAACACAGCTGAGGCCTAGATGGCGTCTCCAGGGGTGAAAGCCTGAGGAGTGGTCCTGCACGGGCCCAGAGTTTTGCCCGTTGCTAGGCACCCAGGGCTCTCCACCTGGCAATCCCCTGCACCTGGCCCATTGCTCCTGCTCTGCGCACGCCTGTTTACCAGCCTACTACACCGCCCCCCCCGAATTTTTTAAAGGAAGAGGGGGCAGGGTCCCTTCTGTAGCCATCTACGTTCCCTTTCAGAGCCCAGAGAGCTTGCTCTGTCAGAGGGGAGATAAGGCCCAGGCGAGGAGGTTGAGATGGGGTATAAGTCAGCAGCGGGGCAGGGGGTGTATTCTTAGACTAGAAATAGGGCTTGTAACCTGTTGGAGACAAATTGTGTTATAAATCTTAATGTTATTGGGGCAAAAGCTAGAACAAGAATGATGGCGAGTGGTCCGATGAAAGGGAGTAGCCCGTGAGGGTGCCAGGTGTAGTCTTTTTTTTTTTATTGTTTTATTGCTTAGAGTATTACAAAGAGTATTACATATGTCTCCTTTTGGAACAACAGCCGGAGGGCGCTGTATTGTCCCTAGGGATTGCATTGACTCCCAGTGCCACCCCTGTCTTTCTGGAACACGTAGGAGGGAGGGCTTGTCCGTTACAGGGTGGGCCAAGGGCGGGGGCCTGGGTGAGTTCTAGTTTCAGTTTTTCAAACGCCAGCTGTTGTTCCCCTTCCCGTATTAGGGCTCCAGGTCGACCTCCTGTTATGCACAACCTGCAGCCCCCGGGGCGGCCTACAAGGGCCCACAGTTGCCATTGGGTACAGGGAGGGGGCAAGCCTTCCACTGCCTGTACCCGATCACAGGTGAGTGAGCCCCGGTTCCCGAGGGGTGAGAATTATGCCCCAGTGACCTCCTGGGAGATTAATTGGGCCGAAGAGACTTCATAGTCCTGGGAGGCTCAGGAATTCAATCTAATTTAATCAAATCGATCGGAGACAGATTAACTGGAGAAAATGACTTTTATTACGTATGTACATACGGGGTGTCCATAAGCATGTGGAACCCAAGACACACTGAGCAGTTGAGGCTTAAGTGTGTTCTGGCGTAAGAAGGAGGCGAGGGTGGGGCACTTCAGAGTGAGAGCAGGCAACTCCAGGGGGGTAAGAAAGAGGGTACATGAATTCTTGCCAGCACCCAGAACGATGGGACACAGAGGGGCTTGGCTCCTCCCTGCCTGCCTCACTGGGCTCATATTATGCTAAGAGGACAACTCCTAGAAGCAGGTTTTTCCATCTAAATTCCATGAGGCAGGGAAGGGGGGGTGGGGGGGCAAAGATTCTCGCTTAGTCTTTTGTTTTTTAAAAATAACCAGCTTAATATAATCAATATCCCCAAAAGGCATATTTTGGTGTGGCAAAATTTCCTTCCCCTCAATATATCAATTAAAATAATCAAATAAAAATAATCTTAATATATATATATACACACATATCTATAACTAAAAAATTAAGTATTTAAAATGCATATACCTATATTAGTAAAATATTAACAAGATAATAAAGACCAGGCCACAAGATACCAAAATGTTCATAATATTTATTACACCTGAAAATAGCAAAAAATCACTCCTGCCATTCATGCTCATTTCGCACCCGGAGGGAAGAGTAGGAAAGGCAGGGAATCTATAAAATGGAGTCATGTAAACCAAGCCGCTAAAATGATTAACTGATGAAGGCTGAGGCATGAGGAAAGACCCTTTTCTCATTCTACCCAGCCTGGGAAGTTAAACCTTCTGAGCTTTCCAGTCCTGCATCCAAGCCTGGATATGCATCAGGCCTCCGATCAGCCTCTGCTTACCCCCTCAAGGCCTCATGATGGAGACCCCTGACATCCCTTATCCAGACCACCTGGCCTCTGACTGACAGCCCTCCTGGACCAATCGCAGGGCTAGCAACACAGGGCTGACCGTTCTGGAGGATGTACCTTCTACTACAAGAACTCTTCCCTTCTTCTTCTTCAGAGTGAAAGACCCTTGAATAAATCTCCTTGCTTATTTCCAGCCAAGCCTCTGGGTCTGTTCTGCGTTTGCTGTGCTCTGGGAACAGTTCCAGAGCTGCTATTCCGAGTCCTGGAAGGGAGGTTAGTAAATGTGTTTTGTAGTAATTAGCACTCTTCACAAATTATTTTCAGCTCCCTGCCCTCTGGCAAGATTGCAGGGCTGACTTCTCTAGGTGTGTCCACGTGACTGGCTTTGGCCAATAACGGAGCGAAAGTGACAATGTTACATCTGGGTGGGAGCTTCACACGCCAGCGCCAGCGAGCAACAACCCCTCCTGCTTCCTTCCTCCTGCCAATCACTGGTCATGAATCAGGGTGGCCGTCCCCTCTGCCTCCCTGAGGGGAAGACAGTGTGACACACAGCTCCTGGCCGAGCCCCCCCCGCCCCCCCCAACACCATGTACCTGGTGTCCGAGAGGAGTAAGCTCCGCATTGTGAAAGCCCTAAGACAGTGGTTCTCAACCTTGGCTGCACATTAGAATCACAAGGGAATCTTTTTAAAATCCTGATTTCTGGGCCTCATCCTCCGGAAGTTCCGTTTCTTTGTTACTAATGTTGTGGCCTCACCCCATAACAAAGAAACAGAATTTCCGGAGGATGAGGCCCAGAAATCAGGATTTTAAAAAGATTCCCTTGTGATTCTAATGTGCAGCCAAGGTTGAGAACCACTGCCCTAAGAGTTTGCGTTGTTAGTCCAATAGGACTAGCCTATTATTATTTTTTTAATCTCACCTGAGGATATTTTTCCGTTGGTTTTTAGAGAGAGTGGAAGGGGGGCGGGGGAGAGAGAGAGAAACAGTGATGTGAGAGAGACACATTGATTGGTTGCCTTCGACACGCCCTAACCAGGACTGGGGATCAAGCCTGCAACCTAGGTACATAGCCTTGACTGGAATCGAACCCGGGACCCTTCAGTCCCCAGGCCGATGCTCTATATCCACTGAGCCAAACCAGCCAGGGCAGGACTAGTCTATTCTGACTGACACAGCTCCAAGTCTGAGCTATGCTTGTCCACAGGCGGAGAGGGTGTCGCTGCGGGACAGGGCACCTACTGGGTGTGGGCACTGTGCACGGTCAAGGTCAGGATCTACTGGTGCAGGTGAGCCACAGCCCCCGAAATGTCCGCACCTGCTGCCGCTGGAACCTACAGTGAGGCTGAGAATGCGTCGGAGCGGCTGACAGTGCTGGCTGCTGTGAGGCGCTGCCGCGAGGCTCGTTTTATGCACCCAACTTGCAATAAAAATATATGTGCCAGGATTTTTATACAGCTCTGTCTCCCTGGAAAGGCTGGCTGACTGGCAGCCCTGGCTCTGAGCTGGGTGCCTGTGGGTGAGACGGGGGAGGGGCAGATCTGCCTGGCGCTGGCTTCCACGTGGAAATCAGCCGTCAACTGTCGTGTCTCTGGTCTCTTCCGACCTGTGACCGTTTCCTAAGCTGCTTCGTTCACGCTCAGGACGGCCTTGAAGAAGGCTGGGCTTGCATTCTGCTTCTCCATTTACTTACTTATTAAAAAAAATTTTTTTTTATTGATTTCAGAGAGAGTGAGAGAGAGAGAAACATCCATGATGAGAGAGAATCATTGATCGGCTGCCTCCTGCACGCCCCCTATGGGGGTTTGAGCCCGCAAACTGGGCATGTGCCCTGACCTCCTGGTTCCTAGGTCGATGCTCAATCACTGAGCCACGCCGGCTGGGCTGCCTCTCCATGTAGATCTGTCTGATTCGGTTGGAGTTATAGATTTTTGAGACGGCATCACGGAGGTGAAGTGTGCTTCTGGCTGCATGATATTAGGAAGTGTATTTTCATATCATCCTAGTCCAGCGATGTTCAACGGCTGTGCCCCAAGAGTCGTTAGAGCACGCAGTACCTGACTGCTCAGTCGAGGGCACTACCTCTTCCCTTAGGCTGTCAAATAAAAAACATGACAACAGCCAACACAATAGCCATCTCGTGCGAATGAATCAAAATTATACCCATTTTTTTAGTCAGATCAGCAAAAATACAGTTTTTGATGCGCCACAGAATCTCAGTAATCATGTGGCCAGGAGATGGAAAAGGGAATCGCTGACCTAAGCCGTCACCCGGGACGGGGACTTGGATCACGCGGTGGAGGTGGCGTGGCCAGGTTTTTCCAGTATTTTCTATACCGTATTCTTCGGAAATAAGTACCGAAGTCTAGCCTACAATCAAAGGGGGTGGGGGTGGGGGGATTAAGCTGCGCCCCTGGTGGGGGAGGGGGGGCATGCAATAACATTTGGCCTCTGGAGGGAAGGTGTGGGGAGCCTGTCACTCTGGGACCGGGGCCAGGAACTCTCTCAGCCCGGCTTCTCCTGCTGGACAGCGAGAGCCTGCACGAGGCGCCCCTGCTCGGCTCGGCTCCAAGGGCAGGTGCGGGGCTGCAGGTAGCTGACCGGCTGGGCAATTAGAGAGGCGGGGACTGGGCTTCCGCTCCACCACGTGCTGCGAGCGTGGCCTCGATGAGCTCCTGACACTCCGTGGCCTTCAGCTGCCTCGGGAGGGAGCGGGGCGACAGAGCCCCGAGAAAGGACCTGTGAGGCCGCGGCACGGAGCTGAGCCGGGACACACGGTGCGTCCGGCTATTACTCCGACCACACGTAGGCTCGGGGGGAGGCCAGTCAGAGGCACTGTTCATGGCACCCAAAGAGTTCACAGACCGATCTCCCCGCCCGTGTGCCTGAGAAGCTGTTTCAGCTCCGCTCCCTCCTTTGCTGAAACACGATGCCTACAGTGGTCGCAGGAGAACACGGCCCACGCCCAGCCTGGCCATTGAATTGCGGACAATTACACTTTCGGTGAAGAAAACAGAGCAGGCCCTGCATGTCGGGGGCGAGCAGCTCTGGACCAGCTCCCCACTAAGAAAAAGACAGCCCGCCAGCTGGTGCCTCGGTTTCCCCACCTCCAACAAGCATGACCGTTGCAGCTGCTAACACGGCGGCCACCCCAGGGCAAACGTGCAATTTCTGAGTGAAAGAGCCGTTCCCCATCCTGGACTGCTTATGGCAAAAGCAGAGATGAGCCCACAGCCACGACCTATTATACGCAGCGCGGCATCCACAGTCCGCAGTGCAGATCATGGCAGTGGCTTGATTTCAAATAATACAGCTGGCGCCCACACTAGCAGTAGGTGCTGACGGCTCAGAAGGGTGTTAGCATTTGCCTGTAAAAACTTAAATAAGTGTACACATGTAAAGGCCACTGGGTAAAGCTCACGAGGTATGGAATATTATGCGTTTGGTGTTAGTATGGTGGCAGTAAAATTGGTGCAGATTTCGCGCCGGTGTGTTGTAAATGGCTAAACTCTGCTTTTTAAGAATTGCACACACAGTGTAGACAGCAACTCATCAGGCTGTTCATGAACCTTGAACCAGCGAACAGATCCATGGGGCTCAAAGCTGAAGAACTTAGCTTCACGAAAGAAAATAGCAAAGTGCATAGAGTCGGTTCTTGACACCTTAAATATAATTATGGGGGGGGGGTGAAGAAAAAATAATCTAATGGGCGTGGTTACGAACCTCTAGGTCATAGAGTATTTCGTAACAAGATGTGAGTACAGAAGTAGAACAACATATAAAGACACACGATAGATTGTTCAGTGCAGACAAGGGTTGGAACCTGACACACATATTGTGGCTGTGACAGGGGCAGGATAAAATGGTGGGGGCCAGCTAGGATTGTAAGAAATATGAATCATGCTCCACTAACTGTGACTGTTTTGTTCTGAGTAAAGAAGGCGCATCCTAACCTGGCTGGCAGTTGCACGCCGGACCTGGGAGCTCACCTGGAAGTGCGGCCCATCCTCCCCATCAGGGAGCTGCCTATTCTCATGGAAAGATGACCAACCTTGTTGCAGAAACCAGGGCCACCAGCCCTTTGAAGACCCCCAGCCTTTGCACACCCGCAGGCCTTTGCATATCCAGCCCCCATTACCTGCCCCATTTGGCACGCCCTTTGCCTACTTCCCAGGTAATCTTCATCCTTCTACGCAATATAAGCAGCTGGCTTATGGGGGCTCAGAGCAGATTTCTGTGGATGGCCTGCTGCTCTCCCACGCTGCCAGCAGGACTGGAATAAACGCTCATGTATGATTCAACCCTGTCTCTGCTTCGTTGGCTCAAGTAGTGACAGGCAGCCCGGACCTATTGATTGTTCGGTTGCATATTCCATTGATTGTCCGGTTACAGCTGGAACTGTGAAAATCCACAAGCATGTGAGCAGACGCTAGGAAGGGACTGCAAACAGAAACTCATTAGGTAAAAGTCACACAGGCACGCTTTGGTTGCAAGTGTCCAAACAAATCTTCAAGCTACGAAAAACAGACCTAAGTGTCGCTCGAGTCTCCTGTGCTTTGGAACGAATGAACAAGGGCCCCCATGCACACGTCTGCCACCTGCAAATATTGTCCCAACCTCCTCCTTCCTTGATGTGCCCCTCAACGCTCCTAAATAAAGCGAGTACAGCCCAGCCAGCCATTTCTAAAGGGCGGGGAGGAACGCGTGCAGGACCCTGGAAGGAGAGAAAGAGGGAGCTTCTCTGCTTTTCATTTCTCTGCAGCTCGTTAGCGTCTCGGAGCCCTGCTATTGAAGCCTGAGGGGACACGCATTGAGGTGAATCTATCGCCGAGCCTGGGCGCTCTAATGAGCGCATTGATCAGAGAGAAACGCGAGAAAGCACAGGCCGGCGACACCTGAGTGAATATAAATTTAGCCCCGAATGAAGAGCCCGCAGAACCGCTGCTCCCCGCTGACTGCGTCGGGGAGGAGAGAGAAAAGCAATTTCAGTCTTCAGTCTTGATTCTCTTGGCGCTGTTGGCAGTTTCAAAGGAGGAGAAGTTATGACTATTTTACCTCTCAGAGCAACGGGAACTTGTCAAAGATTCCTCCCCTGGAAGTGACAATCAAGGACGAGTCTACTCGGGACCGCATTTGAATTTGAAATCAATCCATTTGCCTGCAGGAGGAAGGACTTTCACCGCCCATTAGA